GGAAAAGAATAGCATGTCAAACCCCAAGTGTGTACAAGGGAAGGAAATTATAAAAATCAGAACAGAAATTAATGCAGTTCATGCTAAGAAAACAATACATTGAATCAATAAATCAAAAAGTTAATTCTTTTAAAGATTAAATAGAATAAACAAACCTTTAGCCAACCTTATTTTTTAAAAAAAAAATAAGGAAAATAAAAAGACCCAAATCTATGCAATTAAAAATTAAAAGAACAAAATCACAATGGACCCCGAAGAAATGCAAAAGATCATCAATACCTACCTTAAGAACCTATACTCTAATTAGATGGAACAACTCAGAAAAGATGGATAGATTCCCAGATACATATGAATTACCAAACCTGAGTCAAGAAGATATAAAAATTCTAAATAACCTAACATCAGTCAATGGAATTGAAGAATTATTTTTAAAACTATCTATTAAGAAAAGTCCAGGTCCTGCTGGATTCACTGATGAATTCTACAAGAACTTTAGAGTAGATCTAATACCACTACTCTTCAAACACTTTTAAAAACTGAATGGGAAGCAATATCCCCAAAGTCATTCCAGGAAGCAAGCATTATCCTGACACAAAAATCCAGAGAAGGATCTAATCAAAAAAGTGAACTAAAGGCCAATCTCGTTAACATAGATGCAAAAGTTCTCAATAGGATACTGATGAATAGAATGTAGCAAGTCATCAAAAAGGGTATATTCCATGAAAAAGTAGGATTCATCTCAGGGATACAGAGATGGTTCAACGTATGCAAATCAATAAATTTAATACACCACATTAACAGAACAAAAGACAAAAAACACAGGATCATCTCAGTAGTTGCAAAGAAGCCATTTGCCAAAGCCCAAAACCCTAAAGAAAATTGGAATAGAAGCTCTTTATCTCAATCTAATAAAAGCCATCTATGACAAACCAATAGCCAACATTGTACTAAATGGTCAAAGATTGAAAGCTCATCTACTTCTAAAATCAGGAACAACACAAGAAGATCCACTATCACCACTCCTCTTCAATATAGTTCTGGAAATATTAGCCAGAGGAATTAGAAAAGAAAGATAAATAAAAGGAATACAGATAGGAAAGGAAGAAGTTTAATTATCATTATTTGCTGATGACATGATACTTTACATAGAAGACCCCCAAAACTCCACCAAAAGACTCCTAGAATTAACACCAAAATTCAGTAGCATAGCAGGATACAAAGTCAACACTCAAAAATCCATAGCACTCCTGAACATGAATAACAAAGTCACTGAGAGAAAAGGTAAGGAAACAACACCTTTCATAATAGCATCAAGAAAATGAAATACTTAGAAATCAATCTAATAGGAAGTTAAAGACCTATACATTGAAAACTACAGCACTTTGAAAAAAGGAGATCAAAGAGGATATATGAAAATGGAAAGATATCCCCTATTCTTGGATAGGCAGTACCAATATAGTGAAAATGGGCATACTTCCCAAACTGTTATACAGATTTAATGCACTCCCAATCAAAATACCAAGTGTACCTCACAAAACAACAGAAAACAATCCTAAAGTTCATATGAAACCAGAAGAGACCTAGAATAGTGAAAACACTTCTTGGCAATAAGGGCAAGGCAGAGGGCATCATAATCCTGATTTTTAGTTAAATTACATGATATCATTATCATGATAAAAAGCATGATACTAGAAAAAAGAACAGACCCAAGAATCGGTGGACTAGAGTAGTAAATGCAGAAACAACTCCAAGCATACTCAGCTACCTTATCTTTGACAGAGAAGCCAAAAACCTTCACTGGAAGGGAGATAGCCTCTTTAATAAATGGTGTTGGGAAAATTGGGTTTCTACATGCTGAAAAATGAACCTAGACACATATCTCTCATCATGCACTAAACTAAAATCAAAACCAATCAAGGTCTAAATATAAAAGCAGAGGGGCTGGGGATTTAGCTCAGTGGCAAAGTGCCTGCCTGGCAAGCGCAAGGTTGTGAGTTTGGTTCCCGGTACCGGAGAAAAACCAAAAAAAAAAAAACAAAACAAACAAAAAAAATATATATATATATAAAAGCAGAGACACTTAATCTGATGGAAGATCAAATAGATAAAACTCTCAAAAACATAGGTGTAGGCAAAGACTTTATGAATGAAAACTTGATTACACCTTCTGGAAAAGGTATCTCAGCTCCACCAGGAAGCAAAGATATGATCCTCCCCAACTGATCCAGCCTCCAGACCTAGCAATCATAGTATGTCTGTAACACCAAGCCCTTCCCCTGACATGACGAAAGGTGGAACGGGGGTACAGAATCTACAGATAAGCAGCATGGAGAACAGTAGCCCACTGCAGCTATGCATTGCACAGTGGGGAAGAGATAGGGTGGATGGGTCAGGCTCCCTTGGGAGACTCAGAGACTCTGCCATTCCAGATCCATCACATGGGGACCAATGGTTTGACAAAGAGGAAGAGGAACAGAGCAGGAGTGGGGCCTGCAGCTGGATACTTTTCTAAGGTGATGCAGAGCTGGGATGAGGCAGAGGCTGGGGCTGGCAGGGAACAACGGAGGTCCATAGGGCAGGAAAAGAGGCTTTCTGAGCAGCTAGGGAAAAGCCCACTGCTTTAAAAGTCCTGAGAGGATAGACAAAGGGAAACCAGCCAGACAACCCAGAATGAAAGGTGAGACTCAAGGGCAGCAGGAAATGACCCTTCCTCATGTGAGCAGGACCCCAAACACAGGACAGGGACAGATGCATCTTGTAGGGAAAAGGATAGGAAGCTCAAACGATAGCCTCCAGCTTCACTTCAGTAGCCTCACTGATCACTGCCCAGGTCTCCAGGACATGGTCACCTCTTCCTCCTTACCACAACACACCTCCTCCCAGGCATCCTGTGTAGCTACTTCCCTGTCCCCTCAGTTCTTCATGTTCTGTCCTGGCTCCTTCTCCCATCAATCCAGCCAGGACCACCCTCAGTAGGGAGGCCTGAGCATCTCCTCAGCATCTCTCTGTCCCACCTTGACCTAGGTATCACCCTCTGTCCCACCTTGATGCAGGTGTCACCCTCTGTCCCACCTAGCCAGACATCACTCTTGTTCTAGCCCTCATCCTGCCCTAGCCCAGCGCACCGCATTTTTCTTTTTGCATTCTGGCTTCCTTATCCAACTCCCCTTGTTTCCCATTCTAGACAGGAACCCTGGTAGAACAAACCTCTCCCCAAGCTCCACTCCTGGAGTTGGCTCTCAAGTCTCCATCCTACCAGCCAGATCATGGCCCAGATCCAACCTCTGCAATTAGACAGGGGTCAGAGTCCCTAGCTGTCCTACAGTTGAGTGCCCTCCCTTTCTCAGGCCTCTCCCAGACTGTCCTTGCTCCCTCTTCAGCCAGGTCCCAGGTGCCTGCCTACTCTAGGAGCTCTGTGCCCCTCTGGTGCCATAGTGGCCCTCACATGGGATACCCTTCTCAAGAGTACATACTCAGTGGGACCTTTCCTGTTTGCACTGGACCCTTGCAGATATGGCTGAATCCTTTCTCTTAGACTACCTTGCCCTTAACCTCACTGTCCTAGGCAGAGCAAAGGAGCTATCCCTACTCACTGAGGGATAGCTCCATGCAGGACAGGCAGGGGATGTGACTAATAGTGACCCAGTGCCAGGACTGTGCTCCCAAGGCAATTGGGAAGACAGTGCACAGGAGGGACGAGCAGCTACTGTGCAGCCTCACACAGAAGGAATCCGAGAGACAGGGAGCAGACAGGGCCAGGTGCATGGAAAGATGCCCTGGGTCCCAGCCCCCAGGTAAGGGGACCCCCAACCCCGCCACCCACGTCTCTCCCTATAGCTGATAAGATGCCCAAACTGCAGTGAAGTGGAGGTCAACAGAGGAGCATCTGTCAGATTGTAAAGGAAAAGAGAAGACTTGTCTACCCTTAGCCCTCTAGTGATTGTTACTGGGGCAGATTATTAGCTCCGGACTCAGAAATAACTGGGAGGGGCTGGAGTGTCCTGGGTACTTGGTGGCTGGTGGTGAGGGGAAGGCATAGGACCCTTGGCCCAGCCCACTCTGAGGGCTTGAGCTGTGCCCCCAGCCTAACCAACAGGTTCCGTCCACACCCTCACCCCCACTCCCTCCCTCTCCACACCACCTACCCTCATCCCTCTCTTCCACCCTGCTCCCACCCCTCCCCTACTCCTTCCGCTTGCCCAGAGGTTTTGGCCAAGCCTGGAACCACCACGCTAACTGGAACCACAGTGACTGACAGTTCTACAAAACTCCAAACCACACAGCAACAGCAGACAGCCCACAGCCAACAGCCCTATAGTGTCTCATGGGGTGGGAGAGCTAGAGAAACAGGAAGAGAAGAGGCTCTGTGGTCTTGGAAAGTGAGGGGAACTTTCCCAGTGATCAGATGCAGCATAGAGATGCCATGAGCCGGCCAGTACTGGGGTTCAGAGCAGGCACACCATATGCAGAGGGATCAATGAGAGTCAGTGTCTGCATGGGGCCAGAGTAAGGTAGGGCTATGGGACCCCAGGCTGGGGTTTCTGCGGCCCTGGGTGCTGAGCCAGATCACTGTACCTATGGTTACTTCAAGAACTGGGGCCAGGGCATCCTGGTCACCGTCTCCTCAGGTGAGTCCTGTATCTGGGGACAGCAGAGTCGGGAGGGCTGGGCCTAGGAGGGTAGTTTTTGTGCAGGCGTAGCCTGAGGACACAGGCTGTGCTACAGGTACTTTGACATCTGGGGCCCTGGCACCCCGGTCACCGTCTCCTCAGGTGAGTCCCCACCAAGACTCTGGTCTCCTCTACTGGAACTGGGCTAGGTCCCTGGGCTGTGCAGGTTTGACATCTGCAGTGGGGCTGTGAATGGCTCGAGAGGCTGCTCAGGCCGCTGTCACTGGGATCTCACGGGGCTGCAGCACCTGGGCTTGCTGTCTCTTGTGGGTTTGAGTTTCTGTATGGGCAACAGCAGACCCTCTGTCTCTGTGTGATGCTTTTGATATCTGGGGCCAGGGCACCTCGGTCATCGTCTCCTCAGGTAAGATGGCTTTCTTTAACCTGTTCGTTCTGGGCCCAGCCTCCTCTGAAGATGGGAGAGATTTCCAGCGGTTCTTCAGCCTTTGTTGGGCCTTCTGGAGGTCCATGGGGCTCTGTGTCCTGCTGATGGCCGTTCTGTGGGGATAGGGCACTTAGTTCCCAGGATGGAAGGTAACGGAACCATGCTCCAGGCAGGGGACACACTGTGACCCTGGGACTTGGCCTTTCTGCCATGACCATTCACATAGGCTATGGGAGTCAGGTTTTTGTACACTCCCTAAGGGTGTCTACAGCATTGTGACAACTTTCAATACTGGGGCCAGGGAACCTTCGTCACCGTCTCGTCAGGTGAGTCTTTACGGCTTCTTTTCCTGCTCAACTCTAAGGATTTTACTGCATTTGGTGGGGCAAAGTGATCAAGTCTGAGTCTCAGGCCAAGAGTGACAGGGGCAGCCTTGGGGGCCAGAAAGGGGTCCTGGGAGCCATGGCCCACACAGAACCCCTCTGTCCTGGTCTCTGTGGCTAAGTCTCTCTCGGAGTCCCAGCTACCCTTGACCTCTAAGTCCTGCTGTTTCTGCTGGCCTCAGCCTTCACTGGGCTCAAATTGAGGGGGTCCCAGTTCTTATCTGGGGTCTTGCCGGGGTTGTTATAATGCGACAACTGGTTTGAACTCTGGGGCAGTGATATCCTGATGACTGTCTCCTCAGGTGAGATGAATTTCTTTAGCCTCCTTGGGAGTTGGAGAGGGATTTGAGAAGTTCTTTGGTCTGCATGGGGTTGTCTGGGGCCCATGAGAGTCATCTGGGGATGTGAGGCTCTGTGTCCTGCCGATGGTCTTTCTGTGGGGATAGGGACACTCTGCCCTGGGGACAAAGGGTGACAGAACCATGGTCTGGCCATGGGACCCTAGGACCTGGCCTTTAGGCCTTGGCTGCCACACAGACTGAAGTGGGTCAGGTTTTTGTACACCCCCTAAAGGGGTCCACGGCAGTGTGATTACTTTGATCCCTGGGGCCCAGGGATCTCGGTCATCGTCTCCTCAGGTGAGTCCTTACAGCTCCTTTTCTGCTCAACTCTGAGGTTTTTACTGCATTTTGGGGCAAAACGATTGTGTCCGGGTCTCAGACCAAAAAGGACAGGGGGTACCTTGGGGGGCCAGAAAGGGGTCCAGGAAGAGGTCACAGACCCCCCTCTACCCTGGTCCTTGTGGCTAGGCCTCTCTGGGCCCTGGTCTCCTGAGGGGTCCTGGGGCCCCAAGCCCGGTACCAGTTCTTGTTTGGGGTCCTGTCATGGTTGTCACAAAGTGACAACCGGTTTGATATCTGGGGCCAAGGGACCTCAGTCACCGTCTCCTCAGGTGAGTCCTGCCTTATCCCCACTCTAATGCACTAGGGGAGACTCAGAAGTTGGGGTCTCCATGTCAGAATGGCAGTTACATTTTAGAGGGCGGGAAAGGGATCTGGGGAGCTGCAGATCTAGCCTCCCTGGGCCACGGCTACAGGGATCCTGGACAGGAGTCCCCACCAGTGGCCTGGGGCAGTGGCTGCCTGCTCTGTGAAGCAAAATCAGAGATTGTGTGACTTCCATGTAACTGGACTCTGTCAGTTTAGAGGCCATCAAGACTTTGTGGGTCCCTGTGAGAACATGGGGTGTCAGTTCAGGATCACCTTCACAGCCAGCAGCAGTCTGGCTTCTGAAGCACTAGGCTGGAATGTTGATGTCTGAGAACCAGCAGAGTCACAGACCTGAGGCGGTGACTTGAACATGACCATGGGGGTCAGTCTCTGGCCGATGGGGCGCAATCCTGGCCAGGCACTCAGGGTTTTTGTGAGGTGTGGATGGAGACTGCACCATTGTGATTACTACGGTTTGGATATCTGGGGCCCCGGTACCCTGGTCACCGTCTCCTCAGGTAAGAACAGCCTCTTTGGGACCTTTGTTCGCTGTTCTTGCCTGAAGTTTTCTGAGGACTGTAAGATCATCTTGATGGCCTTGAGGGGATCTGGGTGGTTGGCCAGGAGGGCTGGGACGGGGCATCTCTGTGGATGTTCCAGTGTCTTTGGAAAATTAGAATAAGGACAGGTTTATCACTGCAGTGACTGAGCCTCCCCACTGCCAGTGGCGGGGTTGAAGGCCACCTTCGGATAGGTGGAGAAGGCTGGGACCCCATGGCAGGGGTCTCTGGCTGGGCTAGGGACATCCAGTTCAGGAGTCAGTGTTGGGTGAAGAGTGGACCTCAGTGACCCTGTTGGCAGAGTGACTAGACCACCACACAGAGTGTGGAGTGTTTTGTTTAGAATGGTCAGGTATGTTCTGCACTAGACGGTATTTAAAACGTTTTATTTGTTGGAAAGAGAACGGTCTGAGGGAGTGAATTCAGCAAGGAAGACGTGTAGCCATGGCCTTGGGAAAAATGGATGCTGGGCACCTGTAGGGCAGCTGCTGCCCGGACAGGCTCTTGAGGGGAGAGATCAGGGTCTCCCTGTGTGGACACATAGAGGAGAAAATGCTGAGAAACAGGCTTATTAAGTTTGAATAACAGGATGCCCCTGGAGGGGCCCTGGAGAAGAATGGCTAAGAAAATTGTGGCTTAAAATGTGAGAGATTTTCAAGCATATTTTTAAATGTCTGTGTGTTTAAAGTTTTAAATTTCTTGTTACGGAGTTAACAGTCTTGAGTTGTGTGTGTGTGTGTGTGTGTGTGTGTGTGTGTGTGTGTGTCTGGAATTGATACTGCTGCGAGTTCAACCAAGGAATAGGAATTAGATACTGTTGCCAGGAATTGGAGCTGAGTTTTGACAATAATAAATCAAGTTTATTTTTTAAGTCAGTGAAGCCATGCTGGGATGTGAGTTAAAGTCAAGATGGCCTGGGGCCAGGACACCTGCAGCAGGTGGCAGGAAGTTGGTCACATGGGGAGTCTATTTCAGGAAGCAAAAAAACAGAATAGGTAAATTTATAGCTGTGGTTATGAAGAGATGGTTTTGAAATGTTTTGCCAAGCCCTACGGATCTGAAAGTTCCTGCTGAGCAAAACAACACCTGGGTCATTTGCATTTCTAAAATAAGCCTCAGATGCTGGCGGGAACTGGAAAGTCCCCTTTTAACTATGTGAATGTAATTTTTGAGTGTTAGCTTATCAACTTTTAGCTCGCTCAAGCTGAGCTTATCAACTTCTAAATTGTATTTATTTTCAAAGTACGATGTACATGAAGTTGAACAATCTTAGGGGCAGTTTATTAGGGTATTTAGGAAAGTTTTTAAATTGCTTTGGCTTTTTTATGTGATAACTAATATTAATGCTTTGCGCAATAACTGAAGGATTATTTTTACAATGAGTGTGTTCACATTTAAGCTAGTTTTGTGATTAAGAAAAAACCACTTTGCTATTCTGATGAAGATGCCTTCCTAAGTATTTTTTAAGACCACTCACTGAGTATTCACTTTAGCAGAAATTTGAAGTGAGATGTAGAGAATTGTCTTGGATTATTTCAGTTAAACATGTTAGTTGATGGATTAAGAGAAATCCAGCCAAATAATGCAAAGGAAAGGCCTTTAGGACTCAGGCAGTGAAGAATGCTTCTCCTCTGCCTAACTTGCTGCTGACGGGTTGCTGGCTAAGGTCTGAATGCATGTGGCTGCTGGACCTGGTTTCAGCTTGGGGGGTCCCAGGACCACCCAGACCTGGAAATGTGTGGCAGTGGCTTCTGCCACCAGTCAACTGGCTCTTCATGAATCAGCCAGTTTTAATGGACTTGGAGGAAATATTCCATGACAAAGAGACTCAGGATCTCCCAGCGACCGGGCTCCCAACATGGTAAGCAAGAGGCAGCCACCCCTGCCATATTTGCTTCTCTTAAAAGTTTGTATTTGATGCTTGTTTCTATTGGAAAGGGAGTCAGTCTTTATTGTTGGAGGAAGAGAAGGAAATTTATTTGTGAATCCTTGGAATGACTATTGTCTGGGTGACTGACAGGCAACATGCCCTGAAGGGCATGTCTAGGAGAAATAGGGGACTATTTGTCATTCAGTTCATGGTGTTTTAAAATGTTACAAAGGACCACTGGTATTGTATCCATGTAAGTTATGAGTGCAGATTTGATTTTAGAGTATTATTGTACTTTCTAAAGAGTTTCATGGCAAAAAAGAATTTTAAGTGATCAATTTAGATAAAATGCTTTTCATGGTCATTGTTAATGATGGTTTTGATCCAGATGGAAATTCAAGTCAAGCTAATTTAAGAGTCAAAGGGGAAAGACCCAGACTAAGCGGGTCTTCCAAGAGTTCAGGATCTGAAAGAGGCTCCTCCGGTGCTTCCCACCTGCACAGGCAAAGCTTCAGGTTCTGGAGGAAAAAGAACTTTTCCTTGAGCAGAAATGCCCCTACTTTCTTGATCTAATCTGTAGGTGGTTCAGTGAATTTAAAGTTGCAGGGATATAATTTTCCTGTGTGCTAAGGGTGGTAGTAACTGACCAGGTGACTCTGCAGCCTAAAGCCTGGCCCAGCGGAGTGAGAGACCATTACGTGCACGCCAGAGAAGAGACTGAGGGTGATGGGCCAGCTAGGCTGTGCAGGACCCAGCTGTGGGATTTTAGTTGAGGTCTGCAGGGCTGAGATGGGCTGGGTTGAGCTGGTCTGAACTGAGCCTGGTTAGCTGAGCTGGGCTAGCTGAGCTGGATTAGTGGAGCAGGTCTGGATTAAACTGGCCTGGTTGGGCTGAGCTGGGCTGAGCTGAGCCGGGCTGGGCTGGGTTAAGCTAGCAGAGCTAGACTGGATTGAACTAGATCAGGCCGAGCTGGGCTGGGCTGGGTTGAGCTGGACTGAACCAGGCTGGCCTGGGCTGTGCTGAGCTGAGCTAGCAGAGTTGAGCTAGCAGAGCTGGTCCGGATTGAACTGGACCAGGTTGGGCTGAACTAGGTTGAGCTGAGCTGAGCTAAGCTAACAGAGCTGGGCCGGATGAGGCTGGGCTGAACTAGGCTGAGTTGGACTGAACTGAGCTGGGTTGAGCTAGGCTGAGCTGGGCTGAACCAGCAGAGCCGGACTGCCCTGGCCTGGGCTGAGCTAGCAGAGCTGGGCTGAACTGAGCCGAGCTGGGATGAGCTGGGATGAGCTGGGCTGAACTAGCAGAGCTAGGCTGGGCTGAGCTAAGCTAGCAGAGCTGGGCTAAACTGAGCTGAGCTGGGCTGAGCTAGCAGAGCTATACTGAACTCAGCTGAGCTGGGCTAAGCTGGGCTAAACTGAGCTGAGCTAGGCTGAGCTAGCAGAGCTGGGCTGAACTGAGCTGAGCTGGGCTGAGCTAGCAGAGCTGGCCTGGGCTGAACTGAGCTGGGCTGGGCTGGGCTGGGCTGGGCTGGGCTGGGCTGAGCTGGGCTGAGCTAGCAGAGCTGGCCTGGCCTGAGCTGAACTGGGCTGAGCTGGGCTGAACTAGCAGAGCCGGACTGGCCTGGCCTGGGCTGAGCTGAGCTAGCAGA